GAACCGGGGGTCATTACCGGGGGACCATTGATTAATCTGTTTTTTTTACGTAATACTTATGTGTGTAATCATATTTTGTAAATAAAAAGTCAATTTTGTTGATTCTATATCGAATACGTAACGCACTGCATTAAAAAAAAACCGCAAAAATTACCCTAGAAAATGCACTAAGGCGCCATCTCACTTGGCTTAGGGCAAGCCCTAAGCACCTAGGCGCCAAATGAGATGGCATCTCCCCTTAAAAAATAGGTGTAGGCGTCAAGTGAGATGACTCCTCTTTTTGGAGAATCATCTGAAACATGATTATTTACAAAAAAATAAATAAATTAATATTTGATTATTCCAACAAAAAATCGAAAGCTTGTGCATTAGGAGTTGTTGCATTGGAAGTTGTTAAATATAAGGTATCAAAATAATACATAAAGAATAGGAAAACCAAAAAGATAGATTTAATATGATCATTAAATAAGTAGTATTTTGAAAAGTTGAGCATTTAAGTGAAAAATAAAAAGTAAATTTGGTATCAGTAAGGAAAAAGTTTGAGTATGTATAAGATACTTGTCTATTAACTCATCCACGTGAAGTTTAGAAGAAAAAGGGTGTTTTGGACTTTTACAAAGTATATAGTTTTCTTATATCGTAGATTTACGTATAATATTAATATTTTCTCCATTTTAAAATGAATGTGATTTTAATAAATATTTTTTTTTAAAAAAATAAATGTTATTCTCATTTTTTAATGTAGAAATGATTTTTTTAATGATTTTCTTTAATTATTATATTTTATACTACTTTCAATATATTTATAGGATTAATTTAGTAAAAGTATAATATTTGAGATTTTTTTTACAATAATCATGTTTTAAAAAAAAAACACAAATAATCATGTTTCGGAGAAAATTACACATATAACCATATTTCAGAATATACATCAATAGACGCGTCATCTCACTTGGCGCATGCACTCACCTTTTTGCCTTAGAAGCTATCTCACTTGGCGCATGCACTTTGTTTTAGTCATGTGAGATAATACATACACTATAATATGGGGAGGAGGCGCCATCTGAGATGACTACTACGAGCAATTGTGTTTTCTATAAATAAAACACCAATTTATCCATCATTCTTCACACTTTCTCACATTCTCTTCTCATTTTCTCTCTGTTTTTTGCATCATGACATCTCCCACGATTTTCACCAGAGATGGATACATTATTTTCTCATACACCAAACCTTCGATGATATGAAATTTTGGCATATTCACTCCATGAAGCGTCTAAAGAGAGAGTTGATGCGATGGCTAGAGGGAGACATCAAAGCTGGGAAACAAATTAGAAGGATCCAGAGAAGAAGAAGAACCACCTCACTTGTAACTGGAAGACCTCAATCTTTGTTGGAGGAAGTCAAAACATATAGATGTGTAATGGTGATGATGTATGGCTCAGATGAAATTGTTTTGACGGTTGTAATTTCTTAGATGTGTTATCGTGTTTTTATTTGTTGTTTGCGTATGGTTTGTTGTAACAAATTCTCTTAATGAAAAAAAGTTACATTTAGATCTTAAAAAAGTGCAGATAGTTTGCATACAATTTTTATGTTGTCGAGCTTGTAGCACAAGTGAGACAATTTTTTCAATTGTGTCCGACCTGACGACATAAACCACACTTTCTTTCTAGCTTATCAAGGAGTCATTTTCAGTTGTGATACGCTTGCTTTTGGGACGACCCTTTTTATACTGCCACCTACTCTACATGTAGGCATGTCCCACGCCAAGATGACTGACGCATGCTCTCTAAAATTCACGTAGGCGCCATTTGACTTGGCTCCAACTGACACGTATTCTGCATGCATGCAACTCCCAATCACCTCATTAATTCACTCTTATACGAATTCGCCTATAAATATGGTGCCTGAGACACTTGTTTTGCATCACCAATCATCACACTCTCTGATACAATCTCTTTCATTGTCTTATATAATTTTAAATATGGTTCTTCTCACAATGAGAGATTCTCACAGAGACACAAGAGACAATATTGCGGTGTTTGTAAGTTTATATAAACTCTTAAATATTCTTTTATATTAATATATTTTTTATAAAATTAATCTTATGTACTCTTACACTATTTACATTTTGATTTAGAATACTAAAAGATTTAGAATTCGCTCACACAACTATATTACTCCCGACCCGTTGATCGTGCCCTATCTCGAATATACCAGTTTTGGAAATGTTATAAAAATCTCAAACTGCACGATTGATTCCAAGTTTATACTTGCAATATTGGAAATGTGGAGACCCGAGACACACAGATTTCATCTACCAATAGGTGAATGTACTGCCACACTAGAGAACGTGTACATGTTATTGGGTCTCCTTATTGATGGTAAGGCAGTGAATGAGTCAGTTTAACAATCCAATTCTCTATGCGAGGAATTATTGGACAAAGATATGGTAGAAGGTAGTGGTGCTAGGGGTCAAGGTATATTACTAACCGAACTTAAAAAACATTATGCGACTCTTGAGTTGAATGAAAATTCGTCCGAGCTAGCAAGAATAATTAAAGTTAGAAATTATATTATGATACTATTTGGAAGCTTGTTATTTTCCGAAAGTACATAGAATAATGTAAATTTTATGTATTTAAGTTTGCTTAGGAACTTTGAAAACACAAGAAAGTATAGTTGGAGTTCTGCTGTTTTATCCTATCTATACAGTTTTTGTGTAAAAACGCAACAAACGACAAATGTACTTTTTATGAATGCGCTTTCTTACTCCAAGCATGTGGTTGGTAGAGAATGGAGTTCCTAAACCTCATCAACAACAATGCATTCATTTTCCCATACGCAAGAAAGTAAGTCAAGAACTTAAATAATTTATTATTCATCCTTTTGCCAAATAAATGTATAAAATTAACTATTTTCCATTCCTTTAGGTACTGTGTAACAGATATGGATTACGGCAAGAATCCAAGATTCAATGTCGCTCTATATCGTAATCTATTGGATCACCTTGGCCCGGATGATGTACATGGTACTTTTGAATTTTTCTACTTTTAAATTATTTATTTTTTACGTTTTCATTATTCTTATTAATTTTTATTCACAGTTTATCTGGAGACCATATTTGAGTTTGGACCATGAACCCAATCCCGATGATGCAACAGTTTGGACTACAAAAAATTCAATCATACAGTTCAACATTGTGGAGATGCACCACAACGACCGTATCAAGATGCAATTCGAAATGCATCAAGAGATACCATGTGATCCAACTTGTTTGTCACCCTAGCATCTCAAAAGGGTCGACGTCCAATGGGGTCTTACTAATAGAAAATATTTTGTTCCAGAATGGTGTAAGATGTGGCATATGCGTTACCAATATGTCTTACAATTCTCTGTTTTCCTCAACCAGGATAATATGCGACACACATATCAATATTTTGATTGGTACAGATCGGTTACTAATCTAAAAATGCACGTGTCTCACCCGAGGTATTTGATCGACCCACGAACACAATATGCACAACCCTCAAATCTCCAACAACAAACCCAACGCACATCATCCTTCCACCAAACACCACGATGATACATATCCACAAACATCCAACTACAATCACCACCTTAATACCAAAACACACATATGCCTCACACCCAACCCCAATCCCAATCTTAATACCAATACACCCATATGCCGCACACACAATTCCAGTATTCTAAACATCTCAATATGGGCCCCTCATCATCTCACCTTAGCCTAGATCTAGGCTTTCCTAAAGAATATGACCCAACCGACCTAACTTACCATCAATCACCACATCACCATAGCACCCAACAATCGCAATATCAAACACCCCAAGATTTATTTCCTTTTTATCCCCTTACTCAGACGACCAATGCTATCGATCATCCATGGAACCCTACCCCCACCAAGATGACCAAACTTTGAGGGCATGGGTAATCGACTGTACTAAAGTGGATCTTCTAGATATGGTGATCTAACAGATTTCATGGATCTTGAACGCATTGACTTCGCTGGGCCATCGACCCAACTGCAGCAGGAAAATCGAAGAAACCCACCACGAGATAGGCAAGGATGCGGGTGCGGAACCACGTGTCGTTACCGAGTTCCGGGGACAATTAAATAATATGCAATAGTTTTTTTATTATGTAATCGTTCATTTGTTATTGAAAAATCGAAGTTTCATTAAGCTATATCATTTACTTATTGTCTCTTATTTAAAATAGAAAGCAAAAAAAAAATTGGGAGTTAAAAGCACTTAGGCGTCATCTGAGATGGTTTAGGGCAAACACGTTGGACCTATGCGCCATCTCACTTGACGTCTCCATATAAAAATAAAGAGTATACGTTATCTGAGTTGATTCATTTGTTTAAGTGTTTTCTAAAATATGATTATCTGCGTAATTTTTTCTGAAACATGATTATTTATGTATTTTTTTCAATATTTTATTATTACTAAAAAAAAGTTAACTTTTATAACAACGTTATTACATTTTTTAATATATATATATATATATATATATATATATATATATATATATATATATATATATATATATATATATATATATATATATATATATATAAATTTTAAACAATATTCGTTTTGAAATGAAGAATACAAAAAAGAGAGTGATAATTTTAAGAAACTAATTTTCTTTATACTCCTACTTGGAAAAAGTGAAACAATGTTTTGAGACAAATCTTTGTTTAGGTAGTAAGTGTGTTAACAAAGAGAGCCCACCGACATGCGACAGTTGCGACCAGCCTAGTTTACTAACGTGCCCATCACCAATCTTAGTACACCAGCTAACTTCATTCTTTTTCTTTCTTCACATTCCCAACAAGTACTTTCATTCAGTTGTGATACAAAGAAATTTAAGGATTTCTTCACTCTACAGACCCAAATCCTCTTTCAATTTCTAGGGTTTTCCCACGGTGGTTCAATTCAATTCAATCCACCGCCGATTGTGATGTAATGAGGCGGCGCCCTGTGGCGGGCATCCTCCCAGATCAAATGGAGAAATCAACAACCAAAACTCAAACCTCCCGAATCTGCTTCCTCGCTGTCCTCACCGCTTTCTTCTGGCTCTTACTCCTTTACTTCCATTTCATCATCCTCCCCCAACAAGATCAACATCAATCCACCATAACCGCCACCGTAAACCACCAACTAATCCCTCTCAAACACCAACCACCACCACAATTCAAGACTCCTCCAAGGAAGAACTATGGGTTCCCTAATAAGTCAACACTACAGCTTCAATCACAAACCCCTCCCAAATCCAACTTCCCCTTCACAAAAGCACTCGCAACTTCCAACAATAAAACCGATCCATGTGGAGGAAGATACATTTACGTCCATGATCTTCCTTCCAGGTTCAACCAAGACATGTTACGAGACTGCAAAACATTGTCTCTCTGGACCAACATGTGCAAGTTCACCACCAATGCAGGTCTTGGTCCGCCTCTCGAAAACATTGACGGAGTCTTCTCCGATAAAGGCTGGTACGCTACTAACCAATTCGCTGTTGATGTCATTTTCGCCAATAGAATGAAACAGTATGAATGCTTGACTAAAGACTCTTCCATTGCTGCTGCTGTGTTTGTGCCGTTTTACGCTGGCTTTGACATTGCTCGTTATCTTTGGGGTTATAATATTTCTATGAGAGATGCTGCTTCGCTTGATCTTGTTGATTGGTTGACCAAGCGGCCCCAGTGGGGGATCATGAACGGGAGAGATCATTTTCTTGTTGCGGGTAGGATAACTTGGGATTTTAGGAGATTGTCTGAGGAGGAATCGGATTGGGGGAACAAGCTTTTGTTTTTACCAGCTGCTAAGAATATGTCTATGCTTGTTGTTGAATCTAGTCCTTGGAATGCGAATGATTTTGGGATTCCTTATCCTACTTATTTCCATCCTGCAAAAGATGAGGATGTGTTTCTTTGGCAGGAGAGGATGAGGAAGTTGGAGAGGAAATGGCTTTTTTCTTTTGCAGGTGCGCCGCGTCCGGGTAACGCGAAATCAATTAGGGGTCAGATAATTGAGCAATGTAGGAGTTCTAAGGTTGGTAAGCTTTTGGAGTGTGATTTTGGGGAAAGTAAATGTCATTCTCCAAGTTCCATAATGCAGATGTTTCAGGGATCACTTTTTTGTCTTCAACCTCAGGGGGATTCTTATACTAGAAGATCTGCTTTTGATTCAATGCTTGCTGGTTGTATACCTGTGTTTTTCCATCCGGGTTCCGCGTATACGCAATATACCTGGCATCTACCTAAGGATTATACTAAGTATTCTGTATTCATTCCCGAGGATGATATTCGAAAGAAGAGTGTTACTATAGAGCAGAGGCTTAGGCAGATACCTGAGGAGCAAGTGAGGGTCATGAGAGAGAAGGTGATTAGTCTCATTCCTAGATTAGTGTATGCTGATCCTCGCTCTAAGTTAGAGACTTTAAAAGATGCTTTCGATGTTTCTGTGCAAGCCATGATTGATAAGGTTACCAATTTGAGGAAGGATATCATTGAAGGTCGCACCGACGAAAACTTCATTGAGGAGAATAGTTGGAAATATGCACTGTTGGATGAGGGACAGCGTGAAGTAGGGCTTCATGAATGGGATCCTTTCTTCTCTAAACCTAAGGGGGGAAATGGCGAATCCACTGATTCCTCTGCTGAAGCTGCGAAAAATTCTTGGAAAAATGAGCAAAGAACTCAATAATGATTTGCCATGGTGAGGTAAAAATCTGCATCTTCTGGCTGCTGGTTTCTGAAAAGCTGTCTAGCGCAAGATTCTAAAGATTTCCCTTAATTAGGGAGAACAAGAATTGCAACTATAAAATAGTTAGAGGGATCATGCTATCAACATGTTGCAGAACTTGTACTATTTGAGTAGGCTTCCTCATTGAAACCCCCCCTCATTGCTACAGTTTTGTTATATACATTCTTTTTAGTTTCTGCTTTTTGTATCATTTGCCATAGTGGTTTCTAGATGTATTTTCTAAGGTCTAATAATTTCTCTTGATACTACAGACACTTTTGATCACTTGATTCATATAGGAAATATAAACAAATTTATGGTTAAGTGGGGTCAGTTGAATTCTATACTCTATAATAGGCAGCTGCATCAATTAGACTGCTTAGGTATGTACATATAATGCTAGAAATTTCTTTGCAAAAAATTTCTTTTGACATGCTCTGAAATGGTTTGATATTCATATCGATTGCGGTGGATTCTTATAAAATTGCGATGAAATATCACTTTCACGCATAAGCTCTATTGTATAGCTTGGTGAATTCTCATTTGTTTTGCATTGGGATATTTTGTATACAAACACTTATTCAAACTTACTATTAGTATGTGTTTGGAATCCCGGTCAAAAAGCTTCCAGACGCACGTTCAAGTATAAGCTACTTTTTGTAGCTTCTTCATTATCAAGTCAAATGAAGCTTTGGGATGTCAGAAAGGCCTAACAAACAAAGAGCCAAACAAGCACCTAGTAATATACAGCCATGCTGAATGTTTGCCAGGTTATTATTTTGTTCTGTCTAGTTGATTTTATAAAACATTTCCTGTCTGCATGTAACCTTTCTTCTTTTTTGTCGTTGTGTTTCTGTCTTGTACAAAGTTTTTTTTAGGCAAGAAAATTTATAAAATTTCATTAATCAACAAGTTTTCAATCGTGGCAATACAAGAAATGGTAGTAGTAGTGAATATGTAGAAAGTGATTTTGGAAAAGGTTAGCAAATAGTGTGTACTACAAACAAAATGGATAAAATGGAAATGTTATTAACCCCAAATAGAAGCTATAATGAAGTGAAATTTGAACAAAAACACTAATATTGTGATATCATTGTACAGCGAAATATGAATTAGTCTATATAGTTTCTTCTATTCACAAAATTGAATCACAATGAATCACTGTAGTTTTGACAAAAACTAACTATTATGATTTATTCGAGAACTCACTTCCAATTCTAACTTATATTAACACGTTGAACAACCCCAATAACAAAAAAAGTAAATCACGCTGACATAAATCAATGACATGATCATGGGGGTTCATGTTCATGTAATCCATTTGTCCTTGAGGAGTAATCTGCCACTCCCGAAAATATATGTGCTTAGTTAAAATTTGTGATAGGTCATTCAAAATTGATGAATATAAAGTTATACTGATTATTTTATTTTATTTTTTAAATTTACGGTATGTTTGAAATAATATCGGTATATTTAAAAAGTACCATGTGATATCGGAAATTTTAACCAATATGGAATTTTCAGTAATACAAATTTTCAACAGTTACGATTTTGTCGACAGTTTTATACGTCTGTGATTGTGCCGATCATTTTGTGTGGTTCAGAATGAATCCAAAGTTGTATTGATATGGGTCAGAAAAACATCTTAGAATGTATGTTCCTTAATTTTTGATTAAGACAGAAGTGTACTTCAATGAGGTGAAACCTCCTGTAGGGTTTCGACTTCTGAAGGACATCGTTTGTCTCGCCATCTTGAGATCCACATTGAATGATTTGTTGCCCGACATCGAGAATGGTGGTAAGATCGAGTTTCCTATAGACTAAATTAATACTGATGAAAAGGTGAATTACGATCTTATTGAGTTGAAGACCGATGAAGATTTGAAGGTTACATGGAGAACATTTCATCGTAGGCTAACTAAGAGACCGATCGAGTTTGGTGTGACAATTTCAAGACCTATCAATGACATAATCAAGATGTTGAAACTCCCTAAGTCATTTGGTAGTGTCTAGGTTTTCATGTTCCTTATTGTTAACTTATGTTAGTTGTAGTGTGTAAAACATGTAATTGACAAAATATTATGTAATAAAAGTATTATGCTAAATATAATCACGAAATATACAAATGTAAATCAAATAGCTAAATAGGTTCCCACGGGCTATGTGTGTTTCTCGTGGGTAAAAACCTCACCATTCGGGTTTATCAAACCCGTGTGAGGTTATCCATAATGACTGCATCTGTCTCGGCTTCATCAGTAATATGGGTTGCATCTGTGTCGGCCACCTCATCAGCAATAGGGGTTGCATCTGTGTCAGTCACATCATCGGCAATAGGGACCGCATCTATCTCGACCACCTCAGTTGGGTCAATAACAACCTGATCCTGCACCTCCTCAGCATAAACAGTCTAATCAACATACTCATCTCTATCATCTCGGAGTTGCTCGTCTAATCTAACTGCTCGACGTCAGGTGCTACAGAGTGCACAAAAGAATCGTGCAACCAACTGTTTTTGGTGAAAATCAGTTGAAGCTACTCTCATAACCCGTAATTGCGAAGACTCTGCCTTAGCACCCATAGCACGGGTTGCCTTTCTATCTGTAATTCTTTCTGCAATAGTGTTGTCTTTTCCTTAGTCTTCACTATAAAATGAAAAGATTCAAAAAATCAATGAACTACTGACAATTTCAAAATTTCCAATATTCTACGGATATTATCGGCATTTTCAAAATTTCCAGTACTATATTAAAAAATTTGAACTACCGGCATTTTCAGAATTTTCTGTATAATTTTAAAAAATTTAAACTACTGGCATTTTCAAAATTCCTGATACTATTTTTTAAAATTTAAACTATTAGTGTTTTCAAAATTTTCGGTATCAGTGTATGAGTAAATATCGACAATTTTGAAATCTCCAGTAAAAACTCATATTTATCCTTGCATTTTCAAAATTCACGGTACGAATACAAAGAGTTTTATTGGAAATTTGAAAATTTGTGGTAAAAATTCATGTAACTTGAAAAAAAACTTATTTTTCTTGAAATTTCCTGTATGAATCGTGAAATTTTCTATATTGCTCATGAATTTTTTTTATAAACTAAAAAATTTAAAGTGGATTTAGAAAAATGGTTTAAAAGTTGTGAAAGATAATATAGTCAAATCACTTAATGTGTCGGGGTGTTAGGTATAAGTTAGGTGTGACAAGTTAAATTATCGCCCTTGAGCAGTTTTCCTTTTTGGGTCTAGACCCATATGCTTAACCAAATATTATAAAGTTTAGAATATTTGACTTGTCACCGCCTCAGTTATACGTGTCACACCTTAACTTAATAAATTGACTATAATAGCTTTGAAAAGTTTTCAACCATTTTTAAAATTCATTCAAGTGTTTTGGCATTTCTAAATCTCTCTTGTGATATCGGAAATTTCAAGAATCTTCCGAAAATTGTGGAAAAAGTGAATTTTTTTACTAGAAGTGTTAGAATTGTCCGTACAATCAATTAGATTTTTTCTCTGAAATTACAAAAATTATGGTATTTCTGAATCGATTTGTCCTAAAAATTTCAAAACTTATGGAAGTTTTTCATACACATTTGTCTAGGAAATTGCATAATTTCCGATAGTTCAAAAAGTTTGAAATTTTCACGAAATTTCAGAATTTCTGATACTAGGTTAGAAATTTGGAAATTGGCAAAATTCATTCAAGCGTTGTGGAAATTTCTAAATCTCTCTTGTGATATCGGAAATTTTAAGAATCTTCCGGAAGTTGTGGAAAAGTGAATTTTTTTTACTGGAAGTGTTAGAATTGCCCGTACAATCCATTAGTTTTTTTTCCCGAAAATTACATAAATTATGGTATTTCTGAATCAATTTGTCATAAAAATTTCAGAGTTTCTGGGAATTTTTCATACACATTTGTCTCGAAAATTGCATAATTTCCGATAGTTAAAAAATGTTTGAAATTTTCACGAAATTTCAGAATTTCTGATACTAGGTTAGAAATTTGGAAATTGGCGGTAGTTCACTGTTTTATTTTGCATTTTTGCATTTTGTAGTGAAGATCAGGGGAAGGACGGTTGCATTGGAGGCAAGACCACTGATAGAGCGGCAGCCCAAGCTAGGGCTACCGAGGCAGAGTCTTCCCAACTACGGACTGGGCGAGTAGCTCTAAACGGTTCTCATCGAAAACATTTGGCTAAGTAGGCCCAGTTTTGTGCAACCCGACATCGAGCGATGATATTAGACAAGCAGCCCATAGATGATGTTTAGGCTTTTCATGCTCAGGAGGTGCAAGGTGCATGGACATATGCGATACCTATTGTTGATGAGGTAGCCGTTTCAGAAAAGGCGAGAGATGTGGTGCTATCTATAAGCCGAAACTCTATAGGAGGTTTATCTATGCTGAAGTACACTTCTGCCTTAACCAAAAGTAGAGGAAGAGGCATTTTGATATGTTTTTCTTAATTACAAATGACTCCCATTTATACAACTTTAGATTCATTATGGACCACACAAAATGGTCGGTACAATCACAGTCGTACAAAAATGTCAACAAAATCATGACCGTTGAAATTTTTTTATAATAGAATTACCATAAATTTCAAATTGGGCAAAATTTATGGTATAGAATTGAAAATTTTAAAAAATCTGAAAATATTGACACTTGCTAGAAATTTTGGAAAATTCCTATATTAGTTTATACCAAACATTTTAAAACACTACCAAAAATTTAGTTGTTATTGGAAATTTTAAATTCTCTATCAAAAATTTTGTTCAAACATTTAGTTCCCATTTTGAACAGAGACACTTTTAAAATTATCAAAAAATAGGGGAGGGGTGCCAGGTATAACTGGGGTTTTGTTTAGCAAGTTAAATTCTTGAAAGTTTATCATTCTAGAATGTTATACTTGACACCTTTACATCTTGGACAATTTGTTCAAAATGCCATTTTAACCAAGAAA